ATTCTTGGATTCTTGGTTGTCCTCCATTAGACATGCTGGAACTTGCCAAGGTCCCTTCTTAAAGGTGGGGCCCTGGATGTAAGAACAATACTCCAGTTGTATGTTAGCCTGGTAGCATAACATAAAACAGCACATTATCACTTCCCTTGTTCTGAATGTTATGTCTCTGTTATTATAACCTAACACTGTTATTAATTTTTTGACTGCCACATCACTTTGTTGACTCTTTACCAAGTAAGACACTCACTAAATCCCTCAGATCTTTTTAATAATATTCCCTCATCCTCTTCCTGGGCAGCTGTTTTTTCAAACCCAAATTTAGATCTTTATCCCCATTAAACTTCATTTTATTGTAATTGGCACATCATTTTAATATATCAAGGGAGATATTTTTGAAAGGTAATTTCTACTCTCCAATGTATTAGTTTCCCTTTGACACAATGTGATATGGTCTCTTTCCAGAACTTATCATTTACTTCCCCTGTTTCCCCCAAAGTAAACACCTATATCTTTACTATCAGTGGTGGCCAAGTTTCCCCAATCCAGTTCTTGGATATCCTCACATAAGTGTGTTTTCTGAATATCCAAATGTTAAAATCAGCCGGATTTCCCCATTCCAGCTCTTGAATTTCCTTACATCAGTATATTTTCTAAATATCCAAAGCTACTCCATTAGACCTTTTATCTATGGCAGTTATGAGTCTAGTCATAAGTCACATTCTACCAAATCATATCAATGAGGTCAAATGACCTTCTTCCATTAAAATCTCAAATAGCGTTGGGCACATGAGAGCAATTTGTTCCAACAACCATGAAGGTGGCTAAAGCAGGCACTGTGGAACACTTAGAGCTTGGTCAGACATCAAAGATGCCAAGGTCATCCACTGCAGCCCAGGCTATCACCAGTCATCTTAACTCTTGTCTTGCCACCGGGCTCTGATGATTCTGGGAGAGAGTGAGGCTGATGACTTTGTGCAACTCTGCCTCACTTAAATCCTGTTCACATGTGAATTAAGACATCACCATGATATCATTAGCCCTGTTCTAAAACAAAGGACTAACCACAAATACAGCTTTATTCTCTATATTCTATGCATTTGTGTATAGTTGTCTGAGGTTTTTGTTATTATTTTAGCCCTCTTCTTGAATATCTTTTCCTGTTTAACCACTCTTGTGCACTGATAGCTAATTCATTGGGGAAATCCCACACTCAGTCTGGCAGTTTACAAATGTCCTGCAGAAATATTGAGTACTATGGTTACCAGAGAATCCAAGCCCCTCAACCCTCCTGCTTGCTACACAGCAGGGCCATTCTTTGTATAAGGGTATGGGGGGTTCATGGATTTAACCAATCAAAATAAGTTCTGAGACCCTGCCTCCTTTTGAACTTTCTGCATTTTAATGGGTACTAGTCATATGACCTTGGCATAATGGAGCTGGCTTCCCACTTGAGATACACAAGTTGGAATGCTTCATAAAGTGCATTTATTCTTGGCATAGAATAAATTAGTAAATGAATACTACTTAATAACAAGGGGACTGCATAATAATGAATATCTACCAAGTGGCTATTAAGTCCACTGTTTTCCAAGACCTGGGAAATCCCCTAGACATAAGATTGATTTGGACCCAGGAGTTGTAGGATATATTGTTTAAGTCCTCCCATAAACAGGGTCAGGAGTACAACCATACAGCTTCCATAGATATTTGACTCACCGTTCCCTTAAGACTGATCATCAGGTAAATATGTAAAAATTCTGGAGTCGGGGTCCTGGCTCACTCAAGGCATGAAATGTACAAAGTACAAATTCAGGAAGGAAAGACTTCCCTGTCTTTGCTGTCTAGTAACTGACAGGAGCTTCTGTCCTGGTCTGGCCACAGCTAACCCATCACAGAGTGAGTAGAATTGGCAGCCAGCCCCAGCAATCCCTGTATCCTTTTCACTCTCTTTCATAACTTTCTCTGCTACCTTTGCATCATATCACTTCCTTACTACTCCAGCTAGACCTTGAAGCAAGAGATGTGGCAGTTACAGAGCGAGAAGGTGTTATATGTGAATTACTGGTCCTCTCCACTGTGTCTTCTTCCTGTCATACCAGCCACTCTCTACATTTTCTTCCTCCCCCTCCATTTCTAGTTTAAAGTACTCGTGATCATATCTGCAAGTCTCTAGTAAAAAAATATTTTTACTGGCTCTCATCTGAAGTAATCTATCATTAGCCAAAAGCCTCTCATAACAGTATTTAAACTCATGGTCCAGTAATCCAAATCTTGTTCTCTGACATTCTCTTTTTTTTTTCTGTTTTAAAATTTTCATTTGTTATTCTGAAATTGACAGACTCTAACAAACATAAACATTTCCACATACAAAGAACAAAACAAAACTATAAATCTCTTATCATGTGCAGGTTTGTTAAAAGCATACAATAAAAATATTGGCTCCAAAGTTGCTCTACCTATGGCACCATCTTATTAACCACCTGTGTACTTCCCAACCCCTCCCCCTTTCTTTTGAAACCCTTACCTTTAATTCAGCAGTAATGAAGAATGCCATCTGTTCATGTAAGATCTTAAATTCCTAGTCTGGGATTCCATTAATCCCTAACAATGTTTTCCAGGCTTTCACATGAATGAATCATCCAAAGCGTGTAGCAGTTCTCCAGTCTGACAGTGTTTCAGAAGGCTTTTCATAATGCTTCAGATAGACACCAGAAGAAGTCACTATAATTCCTGACTACTCACATCAGGTTGACTTAAGTACAGCCACCTCAACACCTCTTGGCAGGGAGTCAGTAATTGTGATAACTCTGTTCTTCTGGGACTAAGCCGTGGTCTTGTCTCCTGATAGCTCCAGAGGTTCCTCATTATTCTCTGGAGCTGCACAAGCTGCTTCTGCAGAAGCTCAGACCTAGTGCATGATTCCAAGGATTCATCAGCCCTCCTTCCCTTTTCTTCAATGTCACCTTCTACCCTCCAATCTCCTGACACAAGTTTGAATTCTTCTTGAACTAATTCTTTTTCCTTTATTTTCCTCTGGAAGCACTTTTTACCTTTCAAGGGACACTTCTTGCCTCTTTGCTGCTCTAACCATAGCTGATCTCCCTCCCTCAGGAGGGTAGGGGCTGGTTTTTGTCTTTGTATCCAATGCTTAGTACAAAGTGATTAAAATTTGTGGAATTGAACAGAATATTTCCCAGTCTTTTCTCATCTTCCCTGATGGAAATAATCTTTCCCTCCTTTGCAAACCCTATGACTTTGTATATCTCCTCTTGTCCTGCTCACATCTTATATGGAATTATGTCTTATATCCTTGAACCAGCTAGGTGGCTAGCCTTGAATCTGGAGTCAGAAAGACCTGAGTTTAAATCTTGCCTCAGATACTTACTAGCTGTGTGCCCCTAGGCAAGTCACTTGACCTGTCTTAGCCTCCATCTTCTCATCTGTAAAATGGAGATAAGTGCCTGTTTCCTAGGGTTCTTATGAGTATACAATGAAATAATTTATGTATACTCTACCAGATTAAGAACTTCCCAGGACAGGGATTGTGTTTCATTCATCTGTCTCTCCTTCACAATAGCTCATCAGAAACCCTGTCAGTAAGGGTTTGTGAGATGAGTGACTGCATGTCCAACATGCCTATGTTTGTGTTTTGCAGTAGATTTCATTTAAACCAATCAAAGAAGTCTGTTCTGATGTTGCAGCTTTCAGCAATTGTTTTTTTTCCAAGTGAAGGCTTAAGGTACCATCTGTTGTAATTTCCCAGTATAACATGGAAGCTGGAAAATGTTTTAGGATCCTTCAACTCCAAACTGACTAATGGTTTCTATTTACTGATAGTAAAGGGGCATTTTGCATGTCACTCAGAAGACTGGCCTATAAATACTTGGTAATATTTCCTGCTAGCCCCTCTGGGATTTCCAGGGAATACTGTCTTCATGGCCTAGAAGGCAATTCAATCATTAGCATACATGATATAAATGATAAAATAAAACTATGGTCAAAATAGAATGCTGAAAGTCATTTGATTCATGGAATGGCATCAAGGGCAATTCCTTTCACCTCAAGGTTGTGTTCTTGAGAAAGGGATAGCATATTAAGAAGATCTGAGATGACTTCAGTTCAAATTAATGAAGAAGAGACCAAGTCAAAGAAAAACCAGGACCCTGATGCCAGGAGAGGACAATATTGAACATGGAAGTCAAAGAAGTCATGAGGACTGAGAAAAACGTCACTGGGTTTGCTAAAGGTCATTTGAAACCCTTCAGAGCAGTTTCAGTAGAGTGGCAAAAGCCAGATTACAAGGGATTGATGAGAGATGAGGCAGTAGGGGCTGCTAAAGTAGACCACTCTTTTTGGAGCTGGAGGGAAAGAAGATGGGTGGACTTTTAGGAATTTGGGGGAGGCCTGCTCAGGTCTGGATTTAGAAGAAGGGACCAGTGCTGAGGGAAGGAATGAGGACTGGAGAGAATGGTTTGGCAGTATGGGGGCAGTGCGGTCAAGGGCCAAGGAGAGAATTGTTAAGAGCTGCAAGAAGCCCAAGACTCGCTTTTTACAGGGGGACACTGAGGCCTCCTGAGGTGCGGGAGCTGGGCCAAGGTCATCGCGTAAAGGAGAGCGCTTGGCCAGGGGAGGCTGCGTGAGATGAAGGGGACAGACTCTGTCTAGTTAGGTGAAAGCGTCAGCCTCCTGGTCAATTTCGGCTCCCCCCACTCCAGTCCCGCCCCACCCCCGCGCCAACGCTCCGCCCCGCCCCCCTCCCTGAGCCCTCGACTGCAGCTGTGCAGAGAAGCCAGAGCTCCTGGCCAGTCAACCGCTCCCATTCGAATTCGCGTCTTCACGCGCCCAATCAGAGGGCCCGGCGCCGCGGGGAGAACCTCGAGAGCCGCTCCTGCCCAGTGCCAGCGCCTACCGCTTGCTCTCTGAGCCAGCCAATGAGGACGCCTGCTGTGTTTGAAAAAAAGGGCGCGAGGCGGGGGGCGGAGCCTGGGGGGTTTGAGAGGGCGGCACGCGCGGCTGCCCAGGACTGGACTAGCTGAGGGCGCTCAGAGGAGGCGGCGGCGGCGGCGCAGCAGCAGCAGCAGCAGCAGCAGCAGCAGCAGCAGCAGCAGCAGCAGCAGTAGTAACTATGAGGGTCCGCGGCGGGGGTGAGTGACCGAGCGAACCTTGGAAACTCGGGGCTGGTCTAGGACGCTGCGGACCGAGGGAAACCCTCCCTGGGCTTGGGGTCCGCGGCCGCCCGCTTTTCGCCTACGACCCCTTGCCCTGTGTGGACGCCGTGCGTCCACCTTAACGAGGCTCCCGAGTAAAGGGCACAAGAAATCCCCTAGATTGCAGGACCCCTGCACACCCGGCACACCCGAAAAGGGTTCTCCGCGGTGGCCCGGCCCTCCTCTCTCATTTAACGCAGGGGGAAACAGAGGCACGGAGATGTGAAATGCCCCGCTTGCATCTCATAGGTAGAGAGGGGCAAGATCGGGACGTGAACTCGGGTTCTCCGACTTCGCGTCCCGTATTGCATTCTCGAACTCGGCCTTGGATCGGGGGCACCGAGCATCTTTAAAGGGCTGCCACTTCTGTTCAGGTGCCTACCTATTATTGTGGGCGGCTCTTTCGATGCCGTTTCAGAGAGGCCTTTTAAATGAACAAAATGGGTAATGAGTGCATAGCATCCTAATCTTCAAAGTCCCAATTAAAAATGAAAAGCAAAGGATGTATCCCCACGGTTTCTGAACTGGTAGATTTTCGTTGAGTTAACAGACCTAACCTACAAAGTAGTGTGTCCCCAGGAAACACTGCTGCCTTTGCTTCAAGGTTATATTGAAAGAACAGGTTTGAATTATCTGACGATTGAGGGGAGGTTGTTTGTAAAAAATGAGCAATTCATAGGGTCATCAATTTAGAACTGAAAAAGGATCTCAGAGGCTCATTTTGTCCAACTCTGTCTTTACAGTTGAGAAAACTGAGGTAAGTGATTTGCTCAGGATGGCATAGGTAAGGCCAGCAGCTTGCTGGTGGGGTTAAGAGCAGGCTTATATCTGAGGCAGGGGAGAAAGAAAAAAGAGAGAGGAAGAAAGGGAAAAGAGAAGGGTTAGGAAGAGGGGGAAGAGGCTGTGAGGAAAGAATGAGGCCCAAGAGTGCCCAGAGGGCCAGTGGCTTTTAATACCAAACCTTTTTTTTATGCAAATCTCACTGATATAGGAAACTCTTACCAGTACATATTAGTGCTACCTCCGCAATTTATAAACTTAAGAGAGTTTCTTAGAATGCTGGAGAGGAATACTTGTCCAGACTCTCACATCCAAGATACAGGATTTAAAACTCAAGTCTCCGACCTTGAGGCCAGCTCTTGATCCACTACTCCACACTGCTTCTAGCTAACGTATTTAACCTCTTCTTCAGTTTGTCAGTGAGCACCTATTAAGCACCTACTACGTGCCAGGTACCGTGCTAAGCACTAGAGATACAAAGAAAGACAAAAGATACTCTGCCCTCCAGGAGCTCACAGTCTAATGCATGAGACAAGTAAGAAATACTGTATGTGCAAACAAGCCAAATACAAGATAAGTAGGAGGTAATTAACAGAGGAAGGCACTGGAATTAAGAGGTATAGGGAAAGGCTTCCTGTAAAAGGTGAGATTTTTGCTGAGACTTGAAGGAAGCCATGTTAGAGATGAGGCAGGAGAACATTTCAGGAGTAGGAGACAGCCAGAGAAAATGCTTGGAGTTGTCTTGTTGGTGGAATACAAAGGAGGCCAGTGTCACTACATCAGTGTAAGGGGATGTAAGAAGACTTGGAAAGGGGGTAGCAGCCGAAAGCTAAGTTATAAAGGGCTTTGAACACCAAGCAGGATTTTGTATTTGATCCTGGAGGTGTGATAGGGAGCTGCCAGAGTCTTTTGATAATGAGGGAGTCACAATCAGATTGTTGATTTAGAAGAATCACTTTGGCAGCTGAATGAAGGCTGGACTGGAGTAGGGAGAAAAGCTGGGGGCAGGCAGACCCACCAGCAGCTTATTGCAGTAGTCCAGGCATGAGATAATGAGGGCCTGCACCAAAGTAGGAGCAGTATCAGAGGAGAGAAGGGGACATATTCCTTACAGAAGTTACAGAAGTGAAATTGACATGCCTAGGCAACAGATTGGGGGGGGGGGTCGGGATCAGGGAATGAGAGAGAGTGAAGAGCTGAGGATGTCATCTAGGTTTTGAGACTGGGAGAATGGTGGTGCCCTCAACAGTAATGGGGAAGTTTGAATGTAGGGAGGATTTAGTGGGGCAAGATAATGTGTTCAGTTTCAGGCATGTCAAGTTTAAGATGTCTGCTGAACTTCAAGTTTGAGACATCTGAAAGGCAGTTGGAGATTTAAGTTCCAGAGATCAGCAAAGAGGTTAAGGCTGGTTTGAAAATCATCAGCATAGGGACAACTAGGTGGCACAGTGGATAGAGCACCAACCCTGGAGTCAGGAGGATCTGAGTTCAAATGTGACCTCAGACACTTGACACTCTGGGCAAGTCACTTAACCCTGACTGCCTCATACAAAAAAAAAATCATCAGCATAGAAATGATAATTAAATTCTGATGAGACCATCAAATGAACTAGTATAGAACAAGAAGAGAAGTGGGCCGGGACAGAGTCCTGTGGGACACCTACAGCTTGTGGATGTGACAAGGATCCAGCAAAGGAGATTGAGGAAGAGTAGTCAGGTGAGAGGAGAGCCAGGAGAGAGAGTGTGGTGTCAGGAAAAGCTAGAGAGAAGAAGGTGATCAACAGTGTCAGTGACTGAAGACAGAGAACACTGAGGGTTGAGAAGTAGCCATTGGCTTTGGCAATTAGGAGATTGTTGATGACTGGAGAGAGCGGTTTCAGCGGAATGAAGAGTTTGGAAGCCAGATTGTAGGAGGTTAAGGAGAAAGTGAGAAAAGAGGAAGTGGGCGTAGCAATTGTAGACAGCCTTCTCAAGGGATTTAGCCACAAAGTGCAGAAGAGACGGTAGTGGGAATGGAAGGATCAATTGTGGGTTTTTTGAGGATGGAGGAGACATGGTTGTGTTTGTAGACAAGAGGGAAGGAACTAATAGATAGGGAGAGGTTGAACATAAGTGAAAGAGTGGGGTGATCTGCTGGAGAAGAAGGGATGAAATGGGATCCCTTGTGCAGGTAGAGGGGTTAGCTTTGTCAAAGAGAAGGAACATCTTTTTGGATGAGACAGAGATGAAGGAGGCGATCATTGCAGAAGACATCTGAGTGACAGGAAAAGAGGGAGCTCTCAGCAAATGGCCTCAATATTTTCAGTAAAATAGGAGGCAAGAGTGGGGGGAAGGTGAGCCACAGAGTGTTTGAGTAGAGATGAGAAGGTTTAGAAGAGCTATTGTGGAGAGTGGGATAGTGATTTAATAAGGGAGATGTAGAAGGAGTACTTAGCAGCAGTGAGGGTGCAGTAGAAGTGGTGTAATACGGATTTGTAGCAGACCTAGTCAGAATGGTTGCATGATTTTCTCCACCTTTATTCAGCAGCATGTGTGTAGGAGCAAAGGCAATAATAGATAGTGGGAGGGCTCAATAGGCAATATTATAAAGAGGCCAGGAACTGAAGAAAAGAGGACAGTTAGAGTTGAACTGGTTTACCAAAGAGTCCAGATGGGGGACAAAGGAGATTGTGACTGGTGCAAGGGAGGGAGGTAGCCTAGGAGAGAGATGAGCCAGTGAAGGGATCAGAAGTCACAATGTTGCTGTGAGAAAGTAAAGAGAGAGGTGGAAAGCTAATAGATTATCATCCAACAAGGCAATTTCTTGACTCCAGGTCATCACTAAGTACATCACCTGCTGTGCTATAATGCAGTGAAATTAATGAGAATTTTTTTCCCTTATGTGACAACAAGTTTCTATGTATTTTTAGTTTGTCGGCTTTTTTCTGTGTTCTTACTGTCATTGTGCTAACCTATAGAAACCCACTTACCCTTCTGATCTCTGGTCTTGTTAATTAAACTTGTTAAAATTGTGTCTAGCAGCTAGGATAAAACACTAGGCCTGGAATCAGGAAGACTTGAGTTCATTTTTTTTTTTTATTTTCAGGCAATTGGGGTTAAGTGACTTGCCCAGGGTCACACAGCTAGTAAGTGTCAAGTGTTTGGTCTGAGGCTGGATTTGAACTCAGGTCCTCCTGACTTCAGGGCCAGTGCTCTATCCACTGCACCACCTAGCTGCTCCCGGAAGACTTGAGTTCAGATCCAGCCTCAGACACTTATTAGCTGTGTGACCCTGGGCAAGTCACTTAACCCTGTTTGCTTCAGTTTCTTCATCTGTAAAATGAGCTGGGGAAGGAAATGGCAGACCACTCTAGTATCTTTGCCAAGAAAACCCCAAATGGGGTCACAAAGAGTCGAACAGAACTGAACAACAAGAATTTCATCTAAAAAGTAAACAGGCTCAGTGGGCACCCAATAGCCTTTCCTATGAGTAAGGTGCATGGACTTTTGGCTTCTATTTTGATGGTTCAGAGGCTTTTCATGAACTTGTTCTCAGCTATATTTTAGAGAGGCAAATTTCCTTAAACACTTGTCCTTTATTTCGATGTTCTGAGATTTCAATTTCTATCTTTCCTTAAAATATATTTCATTGTGACTTGTTTTTTACTTTATCACTCACTGAATTTTGGTCTTTTTTTTCCCAGTGATTCACTGTAGGTGCTCCAAGTGTTTTTGTCTTCCTTCAAAGCGAAGAATAAAAAAGAGGCCCCGAGTCTTAACTCTATTGAGTCTCCCTGAAGATGTCCTCTTTCATATACTGAAATGGCTTCCTGCGGAGGACATTCTTGCCATCAGAGCTGTAAGTTACATTCATTAATTAATTCTTCAAAATATCTTACTGCTAAGTATCTGTTTGGAAAAAAAAAAGACATTGACTATTATCGCATACAAGAAGTCAAGAAAATTCTACTCCTTGGTGAAATGGATACTACTGAATGAACTTCACATCAGTGTTTTCCTAATTTATTGTTACAGAGAAAGAGTCAATGTAACAAACCTTAAAGAGTCTTCTATGTTGAATTGCACGTTTGGAAGTGACACAAAACTGGGAAGGGTTCCTAACCTCTAGGACAAAAGTCAAGTTCCAAAAGGATACTGCAGACTAGGACAATGGGGCAAATCTAATGAGATGAAATTTAGTAAAGATGAATGTAAAGTGCTGCGCTTGAATACAAAATTTTTTTTTTACAAATACTTTATTCTAATTACATATAATAACAATATTTAACATTCATGTTTTTAAAATTTTGAGTTCCAAATATTCTCCCTACCTTTTCCTTAAGCAATTTGATATAGGTTATATATGCGCAAATCATGTAGACAGACATATTTCTATATTAGTCATGTTGTGAGAAAAGAAACCAACCAAAGGGAAAAAACAAAAGCAAAGAAGGTGAAAATAGTATGCTTTGATCTGCATTCAAGACTGTTAGTTCTTTCCCTGGATGTGGATAGCATTTTCCATCATGAGGCCTTTGGAATTGTCTTGGATCATTGTATTGCTGAGGAGAGCTAAGTTATTCATAGTTGATCAGTGCACAGTGTTGCTGTTACTGTGTACAGCATTCTCCTGGTTCTGCTCACTTCACTTCGTATCACTTCATGCAAATCTTCCTCGATTTTTAAAAACTCCACCTGCTCATCATTTGAATATAAAAATTTAATAGAGAGTGGGGATAGGGGCTTGAAAATGTTCCAGCAGAAGAGCTGGAGGTTTCAGTGGAATGCAAGCCCAAGGAGTCAACTTCGTAAGAGGCGGGTCGGGTGCCATCAAAAGGAGGCTGGGTTTGAAGAGGACCAGGATTCAAGCCCCAATTCTGCCACTTACCACCTACTTGACTTTGAATGAGTTGCTTAATTTCTCTGTGTGTCAATTTCCTCATTTGTAAAATTGGAACGTTGGACCGAATGACCTCTAAGGTCTCTCCTGGGTCAAAAACTATGATAATAATAACAACTTGGCAGCTGAAAGAGCTAACACAATCTTAGGCTGCATTAAAAGGTGTATAGAATTAAAAGGTGTCTAGAATAAGAGAAGTAATGATTTTACTGTCCTCTGCCCTGTTCAGACCACATCTGCATTATTGTGTTCAGTTTCGGGTGCCACATTTTAAGATCGACTTTGACAAAGGAGAGACCAGGATGGTCAGGATTACTCTGCCATACAAAGATGAGCTGAAGAAACCGGGGGTGTTTAACCTGCAAAAAAAAATACTCAGGAAGAAAATAATGCCTGCATTTCAGTATTTGAAGGCCTGGCCTTTGGAAAAGGGTTTGAATTTGTTCTGTTTAGCCCTACAGGGCACATCTAGAAGCAGCTGGTAAAGGAGTGGTAGATTTTGGCTTTGTGTAAGGATAACGGAATTACAAATTGGAAAGGAAGTTAGTTAAACCCTCTTTATTTTACAGATGTGGAAATTAAGGTTATAAAGCTTGCCCTAGGTCACCCGGGTAGTTAGCAGCAAAGTCAGGGTTCAAACCAAGGTCTCCTGATTCCCAGCACCTTCCTCTTTCACCTCCCCCCTTAAAGGCTCCATAGAATTGGAACCGTCCAAAACCATGCAGGATTGTCTCTGAGTGTTGTGGCGTGTTCTCTCTCACTAATGTTCTTCACACTGAGGCTGGTGGGCCATTTGTGGGGGATATTGTAGATGAGATTCCTGAGCAGGGATGGGTTAAACTAGGTGACCTTTATCTAAAGTCCCTTCCAAATAAGTTTCTCTAATTATATGTGATCATGTTTTTGAATCTATCTAAAGTATAGGGACTGATGAACCAAATCTGGTTCACCCAGCCTTCTTTAAGATAGTTTGTTGTAAAATGTGGTTGTCATGGTGGTCAAGAAGTTTCTATTTATGTCTAGTTGAACTCAGTGTTATTCAAGCCCTCATCTCTTAATGCTCTGCTTCCCTTAGTAAGTGAAAGTACTGTTAAAACTCTAAAAATACATTCTCATGCACAAATGCCACTCTTGACATTCAGAGCTAGGAGGAGCTTTGGCAACATCCCTCTCCAACCCCTTCATTTAACAGATGAGGAGACTGAGAACCAGCAACAAGTGAGTTATCCACTATAAATGTAGCAAGTTAGTGGCCGAGCTGGGACCAGATAGAAGTCAGGTCTCCTAACTCCCAGGGCAGAGTCTTTTTTTTTTTTTTTTGCTATATCTCATAATCGCTTCCTTTCATCCCATAACAAATATTTTCAGACCTCATGGGATTTGAAAAACTTTACATAGTAAGTTGAAGTTATGTGTACACTGCCCATCAAGGCAAATGATAGCCCTCCAAGCTTTAGTAGATGGTTCTTATGAGTTACAATGATTGAAAAAATTCGATCACTTGGTGCCCAATTTTCTGATGAGGTAAAGTCTTTTAACTTAGCTGGGCTTGCCAATTTATAATCCATCACCAAGCTGATGCTCCAAGCCTTCCCTGTTTTATGGGATCTGTAAGAGCTTGCACTCATATTTGACTTCATAATTGTCAAATTTGACTTATCTTTTCACCATTAAGTTGCTTGTTATAAGTAATAGAAACTTTCCTGTTTTTCTACTTCTACAACTCGACTCAAATATATTCGCAAGCCACAAATGTTATTCTTAACATTCAGAGCTGGAAGGAACCTTGGCAACTATCTGATCTAATCCCCACATTTAACAGAACTTGACACTAAACATAATTCCAATGTTTTGTGCTATAAAATCTGTAATTGTTTCTAACTCACCCTCTTCCCAATCTTTTTAGTTACATCCGTCCTTATATTTGTTTTTTGCCTACTCATCGTCTTTTTTTCTTTTCAAGTCCAACTATATCATTCAGTAACTTACTCAATACTATACTGAGTATCTTTTTTTCTCACTGTAGAAGCTCTTAAGATTAAAATTTCAGCTGTGATTAACTATTTAGGATCATGGGATTTAGACTTGGAACCTTAGAAGCCATCTAGTCCAGTCCCCTCTTTTTACAGATGAGGAAACTGAGGCCCAGACAGGGTAAGCAACCCAAATAGTTTCTAAGTGAAAGTGTGTTCTCTTTAGTCTTTCCCTTCTCCCCCCCACCCACTTAGTCCACAACCTTCCCTGTGCCTTGAATATCCACTCTCTCTTCCCTGCTCATATCTCTGCCTTTTGAAAATTTACCCATCCTTGAAAGCCCAATTTAAATGCTACTCCTCCATGAAGGTTTTCCTGATAACCTCCTGCTTCCCAGTCACAAATGATCTTTCCTTGCTCTGATCTCACATAGTATTTTGTACTTGTGTTCCTAGCATGTTCTCTATACACTGTGGTTATTGTATGTATGTGTGTGTATGTGTTTTCTTATAGATGTTTTTTCATGTTTCCTTAAGTCCTTGATGGAAGGGATTTTTTTCTTTTTTTTTTTTCAATATTTGTGTCTTCAATGTCTTAAACTTGGTAGACAATAAATATTAATTGAATTAAAAGGGAGCAGGTCTTCATTGTATTTGTATACCCCCACCCAGCATTATTTTGCATGTGTTAAATGCTTAATAAATTGCTCGCAAATTAATTAAATTTAAACTTTGTTTAAAAGAATCCTTAGGAAGATATTTTAGTGAGATCTTTTCTGTTTTTTCTGTAGGTACATCCACATCTTAAGTATCTTGTAGATAACCATGCCAGTGTGTGGGCATCTGCAAGCTTTCGGGAGATGTGGCCTTCTCTGGAGAACCTAAAGCTTTTTGAAAGGTAACTTTTGTTGTATCATTTTAAACCACTTATCCTTCAGACTCAATAGCCAAATTCAGCAGTGGCCAGTTATTTCAAACAATTGTAGAAACTTCTAACCCACAGAGTAATCAGAATTTTAGAGCCTAAAGGGCCTTAGAGACATCCTAGTCTAAACCTGTTATTTTACATCTGGGGAAATGTACATTCCCAATGGCTTTTCTTGATATCTCCACCCAGAATCCCAGATGTTACATTGGCATCTGACTCTGTCCAAAATAGAAGCTCATTATCCTACCCTCTAAACACACCTTTAAGAACACTATCGTTTTCCCATTTACCTTCATTTTGCAACAGAGGAGTTTTCCTTGACTTTTTTACTCTCTTATCCTCCATATCCGGTCATTGCTAGGTCTTGGCAATTTCACCTCCACTAGGCCCTCCTCATTTCTCTTACTGGCCTCCAGCCTATCATTCCAGACTGTTTCTATATTACTCTAACTCATGCACTTTTTACTTCAGTCAAACTGACTTGTTTGTTGTCTCCCATACGTAATATTTCATCTCCTACCCATGCTTTTACCCAAGCTATGCTCTTTCTTACCTCCATCTCTTAGAATCCTACTGCCTTTCAAGGCTCACATTAAGTGCCACTACCTTCAGGAGACTTTAGGTCTGGAGAAGTGGGCACAATCCAGATTGTAGAAGGCTTTATAGATAATCGCAAGAGTTAGAATGAACCTTAGAAGCCATCTAGACCAGTATATCTGAACAAGAATTGTTCTACAACATACCTGACGTATAGTCACTTAGGCTTTGCTTAAAGACTTTCTGTGAGGGGAATTATGAAGAAAATAGTTTGTAAACCTTAAAATGCAATAGAAATGTTCATTGCTATTTAATTAAACAGGTACCCAAAGATTCTTTAATGAAAATATTTAGTCTACTAGAGGCACTGAAAAGTAATAAAACTATGTGTGTTTTAAAAATAATCTGCAAATAAAACTTCCCTTATTCAAATTAGTCTCCATTAACATAAACTGATGCACTGTTACTTAAACCTTTGGAAATTAAGTCTTCTCTGGAAATTGATCTCCTGCTTTATTGTTTCTTTGCTGTGTTTCCTTGGCATTTATAGACTATAATAGGTTACCATCCATGAGTTTATATCTTTATAATTCTCCTTTAGTTGAGCCCTATATCTAGTTAGCCCCAGTAAACTTTAAGCTCATAGTAAGAAGGGGCTATACCTTTTACTGTTGTATCCCTATATGTTATACTTAGCTCTAGCCTTGATCATCCTGGTAGGCACTTACAGGGTAAATGAATAAAGAAATGTTCATTCTTATCTTTTGGACATACATGTTGTGTCAGAGCCACTTCAACTTGAACTGAACCCATGGTTTATGTCCAAGTGAATTGGAGCAGTTTTATTAAGTCAAAAGATGACTTGTAGCTGGTTTCAAATGCCTCTATAACACTAACCTTTAAAAGAATAAAATCTCTAATCAGCGCTTGGTGCTGTTTTTTTTAGGGCTGCTGAAAGTGGTAATTTTGAAGCTGCTGTGAAGCTGGGGATTGCCTACCTCTACAATGAAGGCTGTAAGTGTCCAGCTGAGCAGGGCCAGGGTCTCTAACAAGTTTATGGGAGACTGGTATAGATCAGAGGCATTTAGCCCCTTTGATCTTTGATTGTAAAATGTTGTAAAGAGATAAGACCCATTTTGAACTTCTTGAAATGTTCCCAGTCTTTGTAGACCAACTTTTAAAAAATTAATGTTCTATTTGTGCCCGGGAATATATGCCTTATTGTTGATGTTTCTCCATGGCTTTGATTAGATGATCTTTGCTAAGGAACTTATTTTAACAGCATGGCTTTATAGATGTTTCCAGAATTTTTTACTGAGAGACTGTTAAAACTTTTGACCATCTGATAAACGAGATCTTTCCATATTTTCATATCAAGCCAGGTCAGAGCCACAAGCCTTATTAAGTACTTACTAGGTTTTTTTTTTCTATCCATCATTCTAGTGTCTATTTCTGATGAGGGTCGTGCAGAAGTGAATGGATTAAAAGCATCACGTTTCTTCAGCTTAACGGAACGCCTGAATGTTAATGCTGCTCCATTTATCTGGCTATTTATTCGCCCTCCATGGTCTGTGTCTGGGAGCTGCTGTAAAGCTGTTGTCTTTGAAAGCCTCAAAGCAGAATGTCAGTTTCAAAAAGTAAGGATCCACACCTTTATAATACAATTCCTTTCCTTTGAAGATCACCCTAAGCTTTTAAAAAATCTAAAATAACAATTTGCATGTAGTGAATATTGGATAAATGTTTATTTTTAGTGCTTCAGAGTAGATAATATCTGTTTTAGCTGGCACAGCCAGGATCTTAAGGAATGCGAATAAAAGCTTGAAAAGTCTAATCTACAAATGTTTGGATACCTGATGTGTATCCAGCACTATGAGAGTTACAGAAAAGTTAAAGGGTCTACTCCCTGACATGGGGAATTTATAAGCTGGGAAGATAAAACACAAATGCATAAAAAGGAAATCTTAAGTCATTTAAAATAACTGAATAAGATGGCTCAAGTGTATGATTAGCCAGTCAATGAAACATAGACAATAATTGCTAAAGAGCTATCAACAGAACAGGGATGGTGTGAGAAAAAGAATAGAAATGGGAAAGCAAAAGGTATGTTCTTGGACACTCAGGAGACTCACTGGGTTGAGGAAAAGGGCTCTTCTAAGGGAAGCGTTGAAAGTTAAGGTTCCCTGCACACAAATAGTCGATGTTTGTTGAATTGAATTAAAAAAGCAGGTTGAGGTTAAATTGGATTGTTTCTTGAATGCTAAATAAGAAGTTGATAAGTGATCATATAGCCAGTGGGGAGCTATTGAAAATTTTGGGGCAAAGAAATTATGAAATCAGAGCAGTGTTTTATAAAGATTAATTGGACATCGACATACAACATACATTGGAGAGAAAGGTGTTGTAATAATGTTATAACTGTAATGGTGTTCAGGTATGAGTGAAATGATAAGAACCTGGATCAGGATGCTGGCAGTAGCAAGGGATCTTCAGGACAGTTCTTTGTGCCATAGTAGGCACTTAATGTTTTTTGAATCAAAAGGAAAGAAGCCTTGTAAAGGATGAATGGTTACAACTAAGAGACTCATTGGGTTTGGGAGGCCAGGGAGAATGAGAAGTCAAAGATGGTGCTGAGTTTTTCAATGGAGAGAGCGGTGGTGCCATTAACAGTAATAGAAGTCAGGAGGAAGGGTCTGCTGATGTTGTTGGTGAGGGAGTAAGTTCCTTTTGGGACATGTTGAGTTAGAAGTTACAGCAGTGTGTTAAATGTAACTATAGAGCTGGCAGCTGATTTTGAGTTTGTGAAAGATCAGAACTGGACATTCCTGCCAAGAAGTGGCAGTGGAAGCTAATGAAACTGAGAAGAACATGAGAAGAGAGCACAGAGAAGGAAGAAGAAAGCCAGTGAGGCTCCAGTCCCGGGAATGAGAGGGAGAAAGAGCCCTGAATGGAGATAGGGAAGAAGCGATCAGATGAGTAGAAAGAGACAACCTTCTTAAGGATGGTTTCAGAAGCTAAGGCAGGAGAAGGCATCAGGGAAATGTGAGTCATCTACTCCCGAGGCGTCAAATATGCAGCCCACAGCCCTCCCCACCAGAACCATATTAAAATGGACTTGGAAATTTTTAACAAAATAAGTAAAAATGCAGTAAAATATAGGTAGCATTTCATTTTAAAATTGAGTCAATATGTGCCCTGCAAGGGGCCTTATGTACAAATTAGTGGCCCCCATTTCTATGTGACTTTGATGCCACTGGTCTACTCTATCAGCAACTACGTAGAGGTTAAAAAAGATGAGGTTTGAAAACAGGCCAGTGGATTTGGTGATTGGGGTCCAGTGGTGACCCTGGAAAGGAGAAATGCTGTGGAATGGATATAGAAGCCTGATTGCCAGAGGTTGAACAGAGACCAGGTAGGGAGGACATGTATATAGCAATTATAAAATATTCATTTGAGAAACTCATCTGTAAAATAGAGCCAGAGGACAGGCAATGGAATACACTGGAGTTCTTTTTCTTCTTCCTTTAAACAGTTTATAATAGCCTCATGGAGCTGTGGTGTTCACACTTAGGGGGGGGGTCTGCTGCATTACTTGCTTCTACCCCTGCCTAGCTTAGGTACTGTCTTCAGCCAGGGGTTTTGAGGGAAAATTTTCAAGTGATCTTCTGAAGTAATTGACTTTCCTTTTCTTTTAAGGTTCATAAAGGATCAATACTATATTGTTTGGGTAAAGTTTTGAGCCTTTTTGAGGTAAGTTAACCAATTCTGTATAGCTTTGAAATTCTAAAAATATGTTCAGAATACAATTTTCTCCATACACGTGGAAGCAGGAGCCTTGGCTCTTCACGCTTGGCTAACTGGTCTTCAGCCCATGGCAGGCTGGGAGGAGGCAAGGGATGAGTGCAGATACTAGAGACAAGCGCCAGGCAGCAACAAGAGGTGACTGTGTCCAAGCTGATAGGAAGGGAGATGACGAAAGTTACAAACCCAGCACAAGACTGCAAAGAGCAGAGCCCTTTGGAGGCACTTTAGTGGAGGGGTGAATAGTCTTATACTCCTTCCCTAAAAGATTCTGTGGGCATCACCAATGACATCCCAGTCAGCTGTCACCACGTTGTAGAATTCTCCAGGGTATTGATAATTCGGCTTTACTTGAGAGAAGGCTCCCAACTCAGCTTGCAAAGGAATAGAAATCTTTCTACATAAGCCATGAATTGCTCATTCCATATTAGGTGGCTTTTTAAAGATAGCAGGGGTGGAGATTCCATAGCCTCCCTTAGTGACTCATTCCAGGTTCTTAATCATGCTGCTAGTCAAGTTCTGCTCTAATTTTGGCTTACTAAGTTGTATTGTCACTCGACCTGTGACCTTGGACCTTCCTTTTCAAAACATGCCTGTCTTTTGTCCACATAGAAAGTGATTTTTGTATCACCTGAAAGCTTTTTCAAGTACTAGTTTGTGCCAATACTTGATCATACTGGGAGTTAGGTCTTTTATTGTGCTTAATTTTTTACAGCTAAGCTTCTGAGAAAAAAAATAACAGTGATATTTCTATAATATTTTTAAGATCTATAAAGTATTATACATACATTATCTCATTTGTCAGCAGGCTTGGGTTTTAAAATGTTAGCATTTCTAGAAAGCAAAGCATTGCTGTTTAGAGCTGGAATACTGACCCTTAAGGATGGATATCTGATTGCTTGTTAGGGTAGTCTACATGTAATGTACATATCAGTGTAAATACAAGTGGCAATAAAAGTTAATATGTGGCTGGTCTTAAGTGAAAGAGAATTTATGCTTTGACTTATTCCTAGGATGAAGACAAAAGAAAAGAAGCACTTGAAATGTTTGAGGCATCATCTAATCAGGGATGTTTAAATAGTTCTTACCTCCTTTGGGAAAGTAGTCAGAGGACTGCTGTAAGTAACCTTGAATCTTCTTTCCTTCTGTCCCTTCAGCTGCTAGTGTTCCCTACCCTCCTTTACTTTATGTACATTTTCTACCTATGTGTATGTTTCTTCCAATACCGTGTAAGATCCTTGAGGACAGGGATTGTTTAGTTTTTGTCTTTGTGTCAGCAGCACCTAGTGTTCTGCCTAACATGTAGTAAGCGCTTAATAAATGCTTATTGATTGATTAAAAATGAAAAATAGTGTATTCTTACTCAAAATGGGCTTTTTGATGTGGCAAAAATCATAACATTAGGGCAAACAAAATTCCCGTCTCCTAGCTAAGATCCATCCATACCTCTGATGTAGCATAGAGGATTCTGAATGGTTTTATACCGGCAGCACTTTCCAGAATTTGAGAGTTTTTAGGTAGCGAGGGGGGTGTTGATGGGCCAGGTCATGGCACTCTTAAGGGGATGTAGAATAAAAATGGTGTAGTCACACCTGAGTTCCACGGAAGAGAAAAAAGAACATAAATTCATTGTGATGTTCTTCCACTGACAGATGTCAGACCCTGGAAGATACCTCCAGAGCCTCCGGAAACTCAGGGACTATGCCACCAAGGGCTGTTGGGAAGCACAGGTAAGATCTCCCGAAACCAAAACGATACTGTTTGTTTACTCTGATTGTTTTATTTTAATCATTATGTTTTATCTCTCATCTCACAAAACCCTGTGAGTTATCTAGAATAGATATTTTCTACATTTTACAGATAAAGAAAGAGACTCAGAAAGGTGAAAAGTGAAAGATCAGTGGCCCTTCTTGGGTTAAAAACCAGATCGTCTTAACTCACAAAAGCACAACATCGAGTAGCTGGGAAAAACTTGAATGGCCATCTTGTGCAGCTGATAACTGAGCAGGGATTCCCTCTATACTGTCCCCAACAGTCTGAGCTTTAAAACCTTGAAGGAGGGGGATTTTACCCCCTCCCAAGGTAGCCCGTTCCACTCTAAATAGTTCGAATTCTTCAGCTTTTTTTTTTCTTAAGTCAAACCTGTGGTTTTCTGTTTGCCACTTCTACCTAGTGCTCCTAGTTACAGCATCTGGGGCCAAGCAGAGCTAGTCTGATCTCTCTTGTACATGACTCCTCATGTAGTATTCTTTCTTTACGTTACCCAGAGGTGGAGAGGAAGAGGAGGACATTCCTTTCCCCTTCATCAGTCCGAATTCTAAACTTCTCAAGGCTCAATTAAGTCCTATCATCTTTAAGTCTTTCCTAATGGCCCCTTCTAATAATAATCTCCTCAGCCACTAAGTGTTCTGAGGCTCTATGTGAACTTGGGGTCTTCATGACTCCAGGCCCAGCACTCTATCCGCTGTGCCACCAGCTGAAGTGAATGCATTGTCCAGGGGCACGCTGAGATGAGAACCCAGGTCCTCTAACTACAAAACCAGGGCTCTTTCCACTATAGCATACTGCAAGAAAGCCTATGAGGGGCCTTAGAAGTCATCTGGTCTAATATCAAAATTTTACAGATGCGAAAGCTAAGAACCAGAGAGGAGGTGACTTGGCCTCGTCTTGACCTAAGTGTCTGAGGCGGACAGTGAGCCCAGGCCCCTGACTCCAAAGCCATCCCTTTTTGTTACTATGAATTGCCTACAAGTGTGTCCTTCGGGCTTATTTTTGGTATTGTGTTTTCTTTTCAAGATATCTTTAGCCAAAGCTTGTGGAAATGGAAACCAGCTTGGATTAGAAGCAAAATCTTCGAATGAAGTGGTGTTGCAGCTCTTTCAGGCTTCTCACCCTGTCAGTAAAGAGAGCATCTTCACTGTGCAGAAGGGAATGAATGACACAATGAGGTAAGGACTCACATACGAATAGCCAGAGCATTCTTCAAGGTCCCAGGAAGCAGAGAGCTACTTTCTTTGGATTCTTTACTGGGCAGTGTATGTTTGTCCAGCATAATTAGGGATGAATGATTACACATCAATCAGGTATTCAACTTAACTGAGACACTTTAAAGGGTTGGTTTTTTTTTTAATTTAAAATTTTTTAGCTATTTTTTAATCTATCATACTTCCTGCCCACTTAAAATTATGTTAAATACAATTTAACTTTTCAGAAATGCATGATTAGGTTATTATTATGACCAACAATTATTAGACCACTATAATTATGTTATGCCCTCGGGGTCTTTTTTAGGTATGTTGTATAAAGCTGTTTGTTCTTTTGCTACATGCCTCCAACTGCCCTACTTCTTTCAGCGACACTTCTGATGTTTCCTTCAAGATTAGGCTGTGTTTGACTGTCTGTTATTATGATCCCTTCTTTCCCCATCTGTGCAACTCTCTCCCAACAATAGCCATAGACAAGGAGACCAAACTAGGCTTGGTTGCACTGACTGAGAGTACGTAATCGTAGTGGTAGACCACAGAGCTCTTTTCAGGTGTGTGAGTTTTAGTTCATTTTGTCACCATCGTTTTGACTGCCCAGAGACCTTTATTACTTTTTGTTCTAGTTCTGGGCTATGATCTAGTTGGTTGAGTTTCCTGGATAAGTGAATTCCAGATAAATAAGGTATTATTGCTCTCTTAAGTATTCCCTTCATGTCTCCCTAAAGAATTTCTTTCCCACCTTAACTTTCTTAATTTTTACACAACCATCTTGAAATGTAGAGCTTCAAACTGAATATCCAGCTCTAGTGAAGGTTTTGTCAATGTCATGTAAAAGCAGAAAGTGATCCTTTAGCCCTTGGTAAAGGGTTATTAACCCGGGGCCTTGAGGCTAACAGCCAGTTTATAATAATTTAGACACACTTGATTGAGCAGTCTTCTTGTGAGTGTAATGGAGCACAAAAAGACAGGTCTGACAGTCCAGGGGGGGCATTAGGCTTACCCCATGATCGATTCAGGTTTGTGATCTCTTTGGAATTGATCATTTCACCAAAATGAATAATTTAGCATCTCCATACATCATGGAAGCAATCACCCAGACCATAGCTTGTTCATTTGCACAAGTTGATTCAGCCATGGGCAAGGTTGGGTTTAGAGTATGCTTGTTTTAGAAAGTTCCCTCCTGTGGGAGAAAAAAATATATATTGGAGATTTGTTAGCTTTATGAAGTATAACTTTTTTTAATGCTTTTGCTAATGCAGACTGTGGATGTGGGTGCTGTTTCATAGGTATATTTTGATTGACTGGCTAGTAGAAGTTGCCACCATGAAGGATTTTACAAGCCTCTGCCTTCATATGACAGTGGAATGTGTGGATCGTTACCTAAAGCTGAGAGTGGTGCCTCGAGCCAAGCTGCAGCTTCTGGGAATTGCTTGCATGGTCATTTGTACCCGGTGAGTTACCTACCTGTTCACAGATCCTGCAGTGCTGACTGAATGTTCATAGGAGAGGATGCTAATGATTTAGTTGTTTTGGTTAATGACTGCTAGTTTTCTGAGGCTGTGTGAATCCTGTGGTGTGCTCTGTGACATGAGAATTCTCCAGACACTCAAACCCAGGCTATACAAATATTAGATGTAGGATCTAGGCAGGCATTTTCGCCTTTTAATTTTGAAACTGTATACTTTATTCCAATATGTACCCCAGCTGTAGCTTCTTTTTTCCTCTGGGTTTTATGAAGTAGCTATCATACTTGAGAAAGCTGCCAGCTTTCTGTGCTCTCATTCATTTTCTAAGGTCTAAAATATACCTTTCAAAACCTGACTTCTCAAATATATCCCATTTTTACTTTTAGGATCTTGGGATATTTTTTACTCTTCTTAGAATCTTGAAAGCAGTCTAGCCCAACTAAACTTAGCACAAGCTAAACGTCCCAATGTAGGAAACAAATCCACACAATGTCCCTGACAAATAACCCCTACTTATTCCTTGGGATGGGAACTCATTGTTTTACGAGATGACTTGTTTTATTGTTAAACATTTCTCATTTGGGGGAGTTCTTCTTTACATTCGGATGGAATCTGTCTTCCTGTGACTTTCACCGATAGCATTTAGTTTGGCTTTCTAGAAAAACATATACCTAGTCTCCCTTCAAGTATCTGAAGGACCATCATGTAAAGTGGCAGTTATCACGTCCCTGTTTGCTTTAGGCTAAATATGCCCAATTTCTTAGACCATTTCTTATATGACATGGTTTTGAAGCACATAATCATCTGAGATATCACTTTCCAGATTTTCTCCAATTTTGTTGATGTGCAAATGTGGCCCCTAGAATTGAACATAATATTCCAGATATTATGTGATCAGGGGAGAATAGAACATGCCATACTTAGGAACACAGCCTGTGATATTGTTGAAAATCTTAGCCACAGCACTTCATGATGTTGATTTACAATCAAACAAAACCTCCCCAGGTCTTTTTCTTTTTTTCCAAAAAAATTTTAAATTATAATCTTAATAACAATTTCAACAAGTGCAAGAAAAATAAAGGAATAAAGCCCCAAATTAACAAAACATTGTACATTTTGTAAATCCTCTCACTTGAAAAAAATTTGTTTGCTATTTATTTACCAATACTATTGATCTTGTTAAAAGTCATCTTTTGGTTTTGTTTATTATTTCAGTTCTCTGGCTTTCTACTTTACTAATTACTGTCATGACCTTAGTAATCTTCTGACTTCCCTCATTTGTTGCATTACTTTGTTCCTTTCTTTTAATGCACACTCAACCCAAGTTTATTTTTTACTCTTCTTAATGGAGGCAGCCAGCACTTAAATTTGCTTCTGAGTACCTCTTTGGCTGCAACTCATTGATATGTAATATCAGTGTTATCTATGAAGTGATCTGTTAGTGTTTTTATCATTTCTTTTACCTAGGCTTTGAAAACCATTATTAAACTCCCTTGTAAAGCTACACCTTTTGATCATATTATAATTGTTTATTTCTACTTTGATTTCTTTATTATTGTACCTCACTGTGGCCAACATATACCAGTGATTAGGCAAAGACTGGGTAAAAAGTGTCAAGGTCCATATAAGGGGCCAAGAAAGTATGACCCAAAGGATCAGGCTGGGGTGGTACCAGAGTTTCTTAGGAGCACTGAAATTGAAGAGGCTAAGATAAGCAGGAAACCAGTTGCCACAGGGGAAGCTGGATGGGAGGTGGGATGGGATGTGCAGAGCAAAAGAGGACAAATATGGCCCAAAGACTTTCTCCTAGGTCTTTGGCCTAATCATATGACATGGGATGCTAACCATTTCATATCTCAGTAATGGATACCAAAAGTCATGCACAGATCATGATAGCTAGGAACATAGCTAATGAAGTTAAACCTCTTGAAAAATGATGCCCAGCTTTCATTGAGCTGTTGGGCATTGTGAAGTTGCTCTAATGTGGGTAATTAGGTTTGTACCACACTATCTCAAGAAGGTGCCTCTGAGCTTCAAATGAGGCTCTGACTGTATGTGGCTCCTTCTCCCAAGTTACATAGTTCTTTTCTGCATTAGTGAATGGTGGGAGAAGGACATGCAGAGTTGGATTATAGGGTAGTATATTCTGTGAGAAGATAGCCCCTATGGTAACTCCATGATGAACTGTTTCTGTAGATGTAAGTAATATCTTTGCGTCATTAAAATGTAAGTTCTACTTCTGGTGTCTAGTAGAAACACTTAGGATGCTTCATTAGATTAGTGAGGAGTTTTTAAGGCAAAAAACCTAAGGGAAAAGTAGCAGTAATATCCAGTGAAGCCAAAGCACAGGCTTGTTGTGAGGAAAATGCTTTGTATGTCTTGTATTGCTGTATAATTAGAGCTGTCATTAGTTTTTTGTGGAGGTCAACTTTCTCCACTGGAATATGGATTCCTTTCCAGTCTGTTATAGTAATAACCGATATTTATAGAGCTCCTTACCTATATATCATTCTGATGTCACAGTCTAAGTACTGTAGGTATTACCTTCATTTTACAGATGAAGGGTCTCAATCTGAGAGAAACTAATTGGCTTTCTCCTGGCCATCCAGTATATGTCAGAGGCAGGATCTGAATTCTTTCTGTTATGTCATGCTGCTTCCATTCTGTGCTCCACGCATACCCACACCCCTTCAAACTGGCATCTAATGATGAGGATGATGACAGCTAGAATTTACATAGCGCTTTAAGGTTTGCCAAGAGCTTATTTCTTCCATTTAGGAAATCGCTAATAGTAGTATAGGGAGACAGTCCATACCAATTCAGTGTCAGGGTCCTGGGTGTAGATGAGAATATTATAAAGAGAACTACCAGTAGCAGGTCTTAACATCAGTCTTGAATCTGAAAATTTTCAGAAGCATTGTACAAACCAAGTCGCATAACCAACCCATTCTTCATATCGGTCCTACTGTTCCTGGAATGGCACTTTAAATTTGTTCCTTCTTCTTATCTGTACCAGGCTATATGCCCTCCACAGGTCTAATTTGGTGACTATATCACTGTGCTTATCAATTGGTCCATCAGACCAAATATCAGTGATAAGGGGGTACTGGTCTTAAATGGTGATGAGGTTCAGCGCTCCAAGGTCATGACAGTCGTTCTCTGCCTTCAAAAAAAATTCAGTGATGCCTCTTGTTTTTAGTTGACAGAGTCATTCCAAATTTACTTCTCTTCTACCCCTATCCAGTGAGTCTTCCATTATGAAGAAAAGCTTAAGTAAAACTAACACATTGACTGAATATACAGCTTTCCACTCTAATGGCCTGTCCCCATCCCCCCCCATCCCTGTTCCCCCCACCTTTTCAATGAAAGGAGGAAGGTAAATTTCTTCGCTAAGTCTTGCCTGTCTTCTTAACAAATACCACTGGGTCTCTAGCAGCTGGGAAGGTGGGGGGATAGAAACTATACCACTTAACTTGCAAAGGATCCCCCTCTCCCACCCTTACCCTCCACCTCCCGTCATGCAACCGTCTTTGGAAAGAGGACTGGGAGAGAATTTCCCATAGATTTAGTCACAATGAAAAGTAGAATTCATGTGCTATATGTCAGGTAAGTGCAGACCGGATGATAGCGTAATTAAGTTACAGAGAAGTTGTAAACTAAGTTATACCCATAACTTCTTTTTTTTTCTTTTATTGGAGAATTAAGTCAATTTACATTTAACCTTACATTTGTTGTATTTTACCTATCTCTTCATATCTTACCATTTTTTGTTATTTTGTCAAAAGGAATACACGCTTTCTTGTTTTGCCATTTCTATAACTCAATCAAATTTAACAATAAATAGTTCCTTTTTTAGTTAGTTTGTAAATATCTCTAAAATATTTCTTCTAACCTTTTTTTTCCTCTGCTTACATTTCTTTTTTTTTTTTGGTCATTTTTTCCTTTTTCAAGTACAGCTACATCATTTAGTAATTCAGCCAATATTATGTGTTTTTATTAGATTATAGAGGTCTTAAGATTTCAACTGTGATTAACTATTCAGTATCAGAACGTAGAGTCATAGGGAACCTTAGAAATCATTTAGTGCAACTGCCTCATTTTAACATATAAGAAAATTAAAACACAGAGGCTGAGTGAGGACCAGGGTCCTTAAAAGATCTTTTCAAGTGTGGCTTTTTCTCTATTCTTTAAGGTCTTTTGGGGTTCTAAATGACTATTAAAATTTTTTTTTAATCTTCAAATGGAAAGGTTAGATTTCCTGGAAAATTGATTTTGGGACTGAAGACCATCTTTTGTTTGTTTTCTTTCTTTTTTTCCATTTATAAAACTATGTTCCAACTTCTCTAATAATTTTTTTTTCCCAGAAAAAATCTGGTAAGATATAGATTGATTAGAAAGAAAGGAGAAAGGGGAGGGCAGTATATAATTTCTGGTAGTCTGGATTTTTTTCTCACCAGTTTTATCATTTAATAATGATGTGCTGAGAGGATTGAATTTGGAATTTATCCATGTTGGATTGATGCTGGATATTTCTGTTCATAGAGTCACTCTTTTTTTGTGGGTGGTTTTTGGGGAAATTTTCTTCAATAATTATTCAAAATATTGTGATGAGATTTTTTTTCCTTTTTCAGTATTTCTCAGGGTTCTAGTACTTCTGAGGTTTCCTCTCCTAGATCTGTCTTCCAAATTTACCAGTTTCTCCTGTACTGCTTTCAAATCTTTATCCAATTTTCTATGCTTGTTTTTCCATTTCAACTGCTTTATCTGCTTTTTTTCCACTTCATGAATTCTGCTTTTGGTCATATCTGTTAAAATATTTAACTTCTGTCTTCTGCTTTCCTTATTTACAAGATTTTTTTTATTATATCCTCTTGAGATTTATATTCTATATCCAGTTATTCCTTAAATTTTTCCCTCTTTTAAAAGCCATACTTTTTTAAAAAATTAAATCTGAATTATTCTTTGGTTTGTTCATTGGCTCTTCAGTGAGGGTTTTGGTTTGTTGTTTTTTTTTTTTTCACAAAATCTTTTAGTAATTTTGATCCTTTCTGGCATTTTTATTCTTGTTAGTGAGGGGGAATATGAGTGTGGCTCCTTTTCATTAATTTCTCATCAAACTGTCATCACAGAAGTATACCATATGCTGACTTTTTTTTAACACCAAAGTAAAGAAATATAGGTCCTTACATTTATCTTTTTCAATCTGTTTGTCCCAGCCTTTCAGACTCATTTTGAAACCTGACTGTCCACCATTATATTAAAGCCTTTGTTTTTATACTCTTCAGTCTAGGAGCCACTGAACTGTTTGTGCGTGGGCGTAACATGGTTAGACTTATGCTTGAAGAAAATTGTTTTAGCTGCTGTATGGAGGTTAGATTGGAGAAGTCAAAGACAAGCATCACAGAGACCATTTGGAGGCTCTTCCAGTAGCCCAGGTGACAGAGGATAAGGGCCTGAACCAGTGAGGTGGTTTGGTGAGTAGAGAAAAAGAGATTAATGGTGAGAGATCATATGGAGGTTAGAATCAACCAGACTTGATAACTGGTTGAATGTAGGAAGAGGTGAGGAATGAAGGAGAATGGAGAATGACTTCAAGGCTGTGAATCTTAAGTAGCTAGAAGGATGGGGGTGCTCTCAACAGGAATGGGGGAGTTAGAAAGAAGGTAGGGCTTGGGGGAGAAAGATGATGAGTTCTGTTCTGGACATAATGAGTTTAAGATGCTGAGGTGAAATCCAGTTGCAGATGTCCAATAGGCAGTTGCTAAAACAGGAGTGGAGCTCAAGAGAAAGCATCTTTTATTCAGAAGATACATGATGAATTTTTTATTTCATTCCCTTAGAGTCATTTCGTATGAACATCCGTTGCAACTTACTGCTTTAGGCCATCCAGTACTTATAAAAAGCTAGCCATTTTATGGAAAGAAGGAGGGTCCTTTGACTAATATTAAAAATCTCTGGTTCAGGCCTTTTCCCATGCTTTCTGTACAGATTCTAGGGTGCTCAGGGATAGCTTAATGGGGGAAGCAAAGGTTGTATGGATGGTTTGATCATTCACTACTAGTCAGCTAACTTTCTTTTTCTTTTTAACCTGTCCTAACCTCCTTCTCTAATATACCTGTCATTTTTTTCCTTTTATTCTTCCCCACTCCCCGCCTTTTTTTTTTCTGTCTGTCCATGGCACGCATATGTATTGTTTCACTCTCCAATGGCACTGAAAGTTAAAGAAGTTATTTCGTCTCTTATTGTTTCATACCTTTTCCCTGCCACATAACAGCACTTTCCATAAGGGTCCTGGTCATTGCCAAACCCCACAAGCTTTCAACATTTAATTAAAGTACAGTATCTATCTCTTCATATTTCAGTTTCATTAGCAAAGAGATCTTGACAATTCGTGAAGCGGTTTGGCTAACAGATAACACTTATAAATATGAAGATCTAGTAAGAATGATGGGAGAGATCATTTCTGCCCTGGAAGGAAAGATACGAGTAAGTTATGGATTTTTAAATTAAAATTGTACTTCTCTCTGTCCCCAGTGAGTAATTTATAAGTTGGGGGGTGGGGGGATAATCACTGGCATTCTGATTGGTACCAGTCTGGTGTCACAAGAGGGCCTTTCTTAGAGTGGGGAGGGTTAAGGCAGGATCAACAGTTGGGTTCCCACAGAAATGATCAATGTGTTTTGGTAGGAGGAAGGAGCTGTTCTGGGCTGAGTAGGAGCTCACAATATCTAGAAAATAGAGTTTCTCCCTATAACTTTACTGTCCAGAGTACAGACCTGTGTGCAACAGTGATACCTTTAGACTTAGTTTCACAGGACAGTACCAAGGAAGGTTGTGACCTGCCCTATTTTTCTTTGGGACACTAGGAAGTGCCTAGACTGCAATGAAGTGGAAAATCAACATGGTAGGACACTGGATTTCAAACAGTAAGATCTGTGTTCACATCCTACCTCAGGCCCTTAATAGGTTCTCTGTGCCTCAGTCTCCTCATCTTCAAAGTGAGGGGGTTGGACTTAATGACCTCTTAAGGTCCCTTCTAGCTCTAAATTGACGATCCTATGAATTTTCCTTTTTCGTGAGTGTGATTTACTGAGAATGTGACCATTTTTAAAGTCATCTTTCTGATGCTTTATTATGGCAAGCAAGAGATTCAGAGTTCTCAAAGAGTGCCAATAAAGTACAAACTCTAGGGGCAGCTAGGTGGCACAGTGGATAGAGCACCAGCCCTGGAGTCAGGAGGACCCAAGTTCAAATGTGGACTCAGGGACAGCCGCAGGAAGTAATGAAAACCATCAGCACAGGAAGGCCCCCCTCTCCCCCATCCTAATGAAAGCAGGACCCCTTTCAGTGCACACTGCTGTTGACCCTCGTTACTGTGTCTGAATATATGGCAAAAAGAGTTTCTAAGGATCCACGCAGCAAAATTTGTGTTTGTGTTTCTAAAATAAATGAGGTATTTCAAAGACAGATTTAAATTCATCTTAGAGACTGACTCCCCTTTCTATATAGTAGGATATTGTAGTTACACAGAACATGGTATTTATTTAGATTTGAAATATAAAGTTTAATAAATTGGAGTGTTCTCTCTTTTATTAGATTCCTACTCTTGTAGATTACAAAGAAGTGCTAGTGAATGTAGTCCCGACAGAGAGAAGAACTCTTCACCTGTACAGCTTTATCTGTGAACTCTCCCTGTTGTATACGAGCCTGTCTGTGTACTCCCCAGCGCATCTGGCTGCTGCAGCCCTGTTGCTGGCCAAGCTGATGCATAGGCAAGGTAAGACATATTCTAGAGTAACAACAATAGCCAAGTTTACAAGGTTCTTTATGTGCATTATCGGATTTGATCCTCACAAGTAACCCTGTGAGGTTAGCAGTACAGGTGCTATTTTCCTCAGTTTATAGATGAGGAAACACTCATAATATAGCTACAGCTATATTACTGTGTTCATTTACTCTCCCATCATCATTGTTAGGTAGGTAGGGAGAGGAAGAACAGGATTTCCTGTTTCATGGATGATGGGACTTAAAGACCTTGAGAATAGAAGTGATTTCTACAGCTTCACAGATTCTGGCTGGAGCAGGATAAAGAGTGAAAGGGAGTTGGGGTTATGCCTATTTTGGTATTTCTTGGACAACTCCTGAGTCTCTCCAAAGTTTTTCTCAGCCCTTCAGGCTTATCTTCGTAGATCTGTGGGGTGGATAGAATGTCTTTCTCCCTCTTCTTACCCCTTCACTCACCTGCCACACAAAGAAACAACTCTTGTTGCAGCCACTACAGGAAGAATAAAGAAATCTTTTGACTTCTGCAATTTGGTAATGAGACGGCCCCCAACTTTGCACCCTTGAGATAGCAGCGGCACAGTTTTGTTCTCCGTAATATTCTTGGCAATGTACTCACATTTTCTGTCCTTCTCAAAGTGCACATAGAATCCTGAGGGAAGTCTCAGACTGCCTCCCATATATGGATTCATGTCCTTTTGGTCTAGAGAGTAACAGGTGAAATGGCCTGGGTAGTACTGATCACAAACCTAGATTCCTGACTTGGGCAGTGGTGGTCTTGGCAATCATGCCCATTCCCAATGGCAGATACCAAAGAGGGAAAGTAAGGGAAGAGGTCTTACTGGGTCTTCATCTAGCCAGGATAGCAGCCTCCTGAATGGGATGCTAAGAACTGATCTGCAGTATCTAGATCATATTGTCAGTATGGTGTTATCACTGTAATTTCTCCCTTCCCCCCAAGTATGAATTATTTTCTTGTTGATGATTTGGTTTTAGTGTTTGTCTGATTCTTCGCATTTCTATCAACAGGTAGCAGGTGAGCATGGTTTGATGAGGGCATTGGAATGTGGCCAAAAAGAGCTCTCCATCTGGTGTGATCTCTCTATGGCTTCATTTAATGACAAGCGGGTTGTCACTCTGTAATAGCCCATCCTTGTAAAGACCTCACAGCCCCAGGGAATTGAAGTCCCTTTTCTGATTCCTTATTTGGCTTTGTAGGTTTCTGCCTGCACCAGCAGAGCCAGGGAAGAGAGGCTCTCATAAAGCCTATGAACACTGATGAGACTGCAGTGCCACTGCTACTGATAGAATTTGATTGGAATAGGGACTCTTGAGTCTTTGGGGACTACTTCTTGGCACTAAGAAACAAAATGCCCTCGAGAAGTAAGTGTTATGATGCTGCAGCCTGACTAGCTTGTCTAATTCTGACTCTCCTTCTTTCCCAGCACATCCCTGGACAAGTCAGTTGTGGGAATGCACTGGATTCTTCTATGAAGACCTGATACCCTGCGTTTTGAGCCTTCACAAAAAATGGTAACTTAGTTTAAAAGTTCATAGTAACTTGAAGGGAAAGGAACGATATGCAGATACTGTTTACCCAACTTCTGAGCAACACTATGGCCTAAAACATTTTTCCAAAATGATCTGAAAACACTTGTTCAGTAGCAGACGTCCTTTGAGATTGGACAGGTTGTTGTGCTGCATGCAAGCTTGCTTGCATTGATGCTAAGCTATGATACCCAGCATTCAAAGAAAGTTTTCTTTTGCTTCATTCCAGTGGTTCTGGTGTCAGTGATAAATGCAGGGAGTCTAAATGAATAGGCAGAAAAATAATAAAAATAGTCAATCCCTTACCAAAGATGACTTCTATGTTTTACAAAGTTTTATTCTGTCAAGCTAAGTGGAATAGACCTTGGAACTATGGTTTTTTTAGCCTCTTCTCTAAGACACTGCACTCTTTGATGGCCAGATTGTGACCTAGCAAATGGTTTCAGCAATCGACTTAGAAATTTCTGTGAGAATGGTAATTGTTGGTCCAAAAAAAGGCACTAATGTTAGCCTTTCTTTGTCTCCCTGGCCACTTATCCTTTAATCACTCCCCCACCCCACCCCCAGAATAACTGATAAGGGTAGTTAGATGAGGCCTTCTTGGTTGAGCACTTGGACTTCTCTCACAGTCAGTTGCATACTCCAGAGAGACCTTAAATGATTGTCAAGGGTCTAACACCAATCTAACAAATGTATTTCCCAAACTCATTTAGAACATCTGTATTTTTCCATCTAGTTTAATATTGACTTTTAAGCCTTCATTGTCATTAGAATGGGAGTGGCTAAAACCATGAGTATTGGACAATCACTTCTCTGCATTTGACTTCTATCTCCTATCTCTTCTGTTCCTCCTCCTGTGCTGGTCTCTTAGCTTCCATGATGATGCCCCAAAGGATTATAGGCAAGTTTCCTTGACAGCTGTGAAACAACGTTTTGAGGATAAACGATATGAAGGAATTGGCCAAGAAAAGGTACTCTTATTTGTCTTTGACCAGTTATCTAAAACAGTGCTTCTTCACCTTTTTCTATTTGCAACCCCTTTTCAAGTTTTAGCGGCATTTGTTGGAGCTGCGTGGGTGTGAGGGCATGTGCAGTGCAAAGCATGTGTTGTGTTCAGAACCAAGGCTGCAGTGAAGTTATTCAATGTGACATGGTCAGATTCATTACACGTTTGGTTTTTAATTAATTTTTGGTTGCTGTACATTCAGAAACCTTTTGCTGTTGCCAAATTTTTTGCAATCCCATGGGGTCTTGACCCACAGTTTAAAAAGTGCTGGTCTAACAAGGTCTGATTTAAGAGAGTCCAAATATGAGAGCAATGTGTATAACTGAGCTTACCTGTCCAAAAACTAGAGGATGCTTTTTGTTTGTATCATTCGTGTTTTGGCATTGAAGAGGATGAAAAAGGAATGAAGAAGCACTATTACATTTACCTTTTTTTTTTCCCCAAAGGTAATGGGTTATGGCCAGTTGTGCAAATTATTAGGAGTGAAGCAAGAGGACACAGAACCTTCTTCATCCCTCAACGTAACAGAAATTCAGACCTTCCTCAACTCACCCTCTGGAAAGAGAACCAAAAGGTAAGTGAGATTCATGTCCGTGCTGATAGCCCTTTTCACAGAGGTTCTATTTTCTCACCAGAGGGAATATGTCCCACTTTTTGAATGTTGCCTCTAGTTTGTTTTGTGATCAATACTGTCAATGTGTTATTTATTTCAGGAATGGATTTTTTACTACTTTTCTCAGAAAAGGAAGTAGATCTAGCTGTAAAGAAATTACCAAAGGAAAAAACCCCTGGTTCTGATGGGTTCATAGAATTCTGTCAGACTTTTGAAGAACAGTTAGGACACAAACTACACACTGTTCTCAAAAATCGAGAAATAAAGCACCCTATCAGAATCCTTTTAAACCAGGCAGAGATAAAACACAGAAAAAAAACTGTAGACCAATATCATTAATAAACGTTGACTCAAAGTTTTTAAACAAAATCCCATCAGACTACAATTTATCCAAGAAATCATCCATCATGATCAAGTGGGATTTATAGCAGGAAGTTAAGGATGGTTCAGCATTAGGAAAAACAATCAACATGATTGATCATATTGAAAACCAAAGCATCCTAAACCACCACATAATCATTTCAGTAGAAGCAGGAAAAGCCTTTGGCAAAATACAACACTCTTTTATGCTAAAAACCTTACAAAATATAAACATAGAGGAACCTTATTTTAATATCATGAAAACCATCTATCTAAAACTAAAAGCAAGCATCATATGCGATGGAAATATGCTAGGACTTCTCCCATAAATACAGAAATGAAGCAAGGATGCCCACTCTCCCCACTATTATTTGACATAGTTCTGCAAATGCTAGCAAAAAGACAGGAAAAAGAAAGGCATAAAGATAGGTAAAGAAGTGACAAATCTATCTCTGTTTGCTTATGATTTGATGATTTACTTGGAAAATCCTGGGGAATCAGGAAAGATGCTAATTGAGACAATAGCTTCAGCAAAGTTGCAGCTTATCAAATCCTTAAAAATCAATGGCATTTCTATATATCAAAGCACAAGAAGCAATAATAGAAAGGGAAATCCCATTCCAAATAACTACAAAATACACAAACTATCTGAGGATCTACCTACTAAAGTACACAAAAGTTTTGTATAGATTCAGTTAAAAAGTACTCTCTACAGAAATAACCATTTACATGGCTGGGGGAAAGCTCAGTGTTTATGGCTAGACCATACCAATATTAAAAAAAGATAACACTGCCAAAACTAATTTACAGTTTTAATGCTATACCAATCAACTTGCTAGGGTGATACTGTATAGAACTCGCTAAAGTAATAAAATTCATTTGGAAAAACAGGATCTTAGCATATCAAGAGAAATAATAAAAAGAAGTAGAGACCAAGGGGAAATAATACTTCCAGACCTCAGACTATATTATAAAGCAGGAGTCATCAAAATCATCTGGTATTGGTTAAAAAATAGAGATATAGATCAATGCATCAGACTAGACAAGGGCGAATCGGAAACAATAGAACCCAGTGTTGGATAGAGTGAAAAATTACCTAGAAGAAAATACTTTATTTGATTAAAAACTGATGTGAAAACTATAAAGCAGTCTCACAGAAATTAGACCAATACCTTACACAATATTCCACAATCTATTCTAAATGGATATGCAATCTTAATATTAAAGATTTTAAAATAATATATAAAATTAAAAAAAAGTAACGATCATGCTGTAAAAAAAAATTAGAAGAAAAATAGATCGTATACTTCTCACTTTTATGGGTAGGAGATGTATTTTTAAGCAAATAAGATAAAGGCATTTACCAAATACAAAACAGATTACTTTGATTACTTTCAACCAGAAAGTTTCTGCACAAACAAAATTAATGCACTGGGAATTAGAAGGAAAGTGGTAAAATAGGAAAAAATCATTTTGTCTAATTTCTCTTTTAAGGGTTTGTTATCCAAGATATATAAAAAAAAATATATAAATCAAACCATTCTCAAAAAGTATTGCAAAGTATTCACAACATGAAAGAATGCTCTAAATTGCTAATAAGAAGAAAAATGCAAATCAAAACAACTCTGAAGTCTCACCCCACACCCTGCAAATTGGCAAAAATGACCCTAAAAATGGCAATAGTAAATGGTGGGAGGGGTGATGAAAAGGTAGGCACTCTAGTGTATTGTTGGTAGAGCTGTGAAATGGTACGACCATTTTGGAAAGCATTTTGCAATTATATAAATAAAATTATTAAAATGTCCATAGTCTGTGAACCATTACTGGGTTTTTACCCTAAGGAAGCCATCAAGAAGAAAGTCCCTACATATTCCAAAATATTTATAGCAGCGCTTTTTGTGATAGCTAAGAATTGGAAACAAAGTAGATGCTCATCAATTGGGGAATGGCTAAACAAATTGTGGTACGTGAATGTAATGGAATATTACTGTGCTGTAAGAAATGATGTATGGTGAATACAGAGAAGTATGGAAAAATCAACATGAACTGAAGGAGAGCTAAGTACAGAACAACACCAGAAAATCAAAAGTAAATGTAACATGGATAGACCACTGGCCCTGGAGTCAGGAGGACCTGAGTTCCAACTTGGCCTCAGACACTTACTAGCTGTGTGACCCTCAGCAAGTCACTTAACCCTAATTGCCTCCAAAAAAAAAAAAGTAAATGTCACAAAATTCAATTAAGCAAGACTCAAATGAAGAGCTATGAAAGGATGTCCCACCCCTTAGAGGAGATAGCACCCACAGATGTTATGCATGGCACATATTTTCACATATTTTTTATTAATCAGTTGTGCTGATTTTTTTTTCCTCTTTAAAAATACTATTTGTGATATGGGATGGCTTTGGGGGAGGGGTGATGAAAAGGTAGGCACTCTAGTGCATTGTTGGTGGAGCTGTGAAATTGTGCTTGAGGCAATTATGGCATAGAAATAAACATTTGACATTAAAAACAAAAAAAAAGTAGGAGAAGAGAGGATGATAGCTTGAGGGAATGGTAGTTTCAAGTAAAGAGCTTTAAGGATGGAGAAAAGTGCCATCAACAATAAGAAATAGGAATAGCTAATTTATATAACACTGAAGTTTCTAAAAATGTTTTACATTCATTATCTCATGTAATCCTCATAGCAACTGTGAGTTAAAAACTAGAATTTCCATCCATTTTACAGCTGAGTAAGGCTCACTGGAGGCTCAGTGAAGCTTTGGCCGAGGGTTACAGCCAGTAAATGAGGCAGATTGAAGCCCAAGTCTCGCGTGCTAGCTACTACACCATGCTGCCTCCCCCATCATTTACATAGCATCATCTCAACAGAAGGGAAGAAAAGGAAAACTAGAAGAAGAGATAATTGAAAAAACAAACTTCTCTGGGGCCTGAGAGAGGGTGGGAAGTAGAGGGGTTGGCCTTAGCATGAAGAGCCACCTCAGTGTCCAAGACTGGGACTGGAGAGAAAAACTAAGAGAATGAGAGAAAGAGGAAGAAGGTAATTTGGGGGCCTCTTAGTATAGAATAGATGGTCTTTGTTTCTTTGGTTAAGTAGGAGATATGGACATCTTTTGAGAGAGGGGGAGCAAAAGGGATAGGAGATGGCATAGTAGGTTTGAGAAGACTAGAAATAACTACACAGAGTCCATCAGGAGAGAATATAAGGACTGCCATGCAATAGTATAAAGGTCCATTTAAGATTAAATAACCTATTTGCTGTTGGCGCAGTAGGTGTGATTGTGTGACTTCTGTCTGGCTCCAGTAAGCAGGAAAAAATGGGGGCAGGAAGGGATGGCTGATGTTGATACCTTCATTTGACAAACATTTAGTGAAGCGTGCCCTGGAGGACCAAAGGGAGTAAATGACTTGGTAAAGATCAGTGCCAGGCCAGGGCTTCTGTTCTGTTTTTGGTTTGTGGGGGAGTCTCCACTGTGCTACATTTCCTGCTCTTTATTTAATTTGAATGTGTTCTCCTTCCTCAGAAGAAGGGAAAACAGCATTCAGGAAGATAGGGGCAGTTTTGTAACAACACCTACTGCTGAATTATCCAGCCAAGAGGAAACTCTCCTGGGCAACTTCCTGGATTGGAGTTTGGACTACTGTTCTGGGTACGAGGGAGACCAGGAAAGTGAAGGGGAAAAAGAAGGAGATGGTAAGTTTCGGCTCGCACATCAGCAGTTCTTCCCACTGGAGTGAGCAACGTGTGTCCTTTGTTAACACGTGGTCACCTTAATGAGCATAACTGTGTCCTCTCAGTGTTGAATAGTTCAAATGTTGAATGATTGTGAAGCAAGACCTTTCTTTAAAGGTACCAAACACTATTTAAACCCTGACCTGGTGATGGCAGTCTTGTCCATTTTTCATGCCTAGAAGAATAGGCGTATTGCTTTAAGTTTCATTATTTTAATAACATTGGAGAAAGGTAGAAATTATTATATCTACTGAGAATTGTGCCTCTGCCCCTGCTTGGTCAGGTTAGGCCACCCATCTGTACAACCTCAGCTGGATGTATATTTATGCAGTAACATCTCAACAGTGCTGGTGAGATAGGACAAATTTGAATTCCAAAAATCAGTATTTCAATGTAAGACCTGAATATACATAAAAGATATACATACATACATACATACATACATACATACATACAACTAATAAAAAGATTAATACCCATTGCTCAGTAGGTCAGTAGTCAAATGATATGAACAGATATAATCTTACATGCTACTGGGCTCTATGGTTATCATTTACAAGGCCAGAATGGAGATTGCTGCCTCTGATATCCTGAAAGTCTGTCTTCCTAAAATAAGGACAGTTGAGTTCATTGTGAATTGAAAACTGGTGAGTTTTTGTGGTCAATGAAGGCTATATATGGATGCTACCTCCTGAACTTTGAGTGACTTGTAAGACAGTCATTCCTTCCCACCAAAGGTCCCTTAGCATCCTCTGTCAGAGACAGTGTCCTGGGCAAGGCGCCCAGGGTGAGGCCGGGTCAGGTGGTGGCACATCCAACTTTCTCACCTACAACAAGCTTAATGCTACAGGTGGGATTTTGTCGGTTCTCCAAGACTACCAGTCGCCTCTTTCTTCTGTTTTGTTCCCACAGTCACATCTCCCAGTGGGGTCCTCGATGTAACTGTGGTGTATCTGGATCCAGAACAGCACTGCTGTCAAGAGTCCAGCGATGAAGACAGCCGACTAGAGGACCACTCTAAACAGGACGCGCCGCCACCGCCACCGCTGCCATCAAGCCACACGAATGCTGAGAAACACTGGCTCCTTTTTCAGGATAGGAGGGAGTCCAGAACAGAAGTGACGTCAGGCTATTCCTCAGTCAACAGTGCCAGCCCCACATCCTCCTCCCTGGAGAACAACTTTGGAGCATTTATCAAAACTACCTCAGCGCTGTCCCCCGGCAGTGACCCAAACACTCACCTGTGTACGCCCACCTACTTGGAATCATGTTTACAGTCTCTTCACACCAGTCCCGTTGAAAGTGGCCTGCACCGGAGACAGGTGAAGAGGAAAAATGTGGCTGAGCATAGTGACAAGAAGAACTTGGGATTCTGGAGTCTGTGATTTTGTGTGTGTGGTGTTTGTCGCTTTAAATGTTTACTAAGAGGAGAATTTCTGTAATGCCTGCTAAGGGTTGTGGGGGGAGGCCAAAAATGTATATCTTAGAAACTCCAAAGGCAACAGACGTACAACCTGCTGGGGTCTCCCAGACCGGCAGCCTCAGCACACGGAAGATGGAGAAAAATCACTGTTGGCACCAAGTGGAACTTTCTTCCATTTAGTTCTATGCAAAACAAAAAGTGCACAGTTGAACTCTCCATCGAAAAGAGTAATACCAAATCCTTCTCTCTGGCAATGCGGTGCCCCGAGCAATCATGCCTTATTGTGTTAAGTCTGTTTCTTTCTGTGGGGTCTGCCCTAGTTCTCACCTAAGGTCTCTTTCCAGGGTGATTTTTTTACTGAGTAAACTGATGTCTACGCACAATCCAGTGCCGTATTCTAGGCTTCAAGCAACACTGAATTCAAAGGCACATTCCCTGGGACTTGCTTTATTGATGTTGCCTTTCAGAGTGACAGCCAACGGGCTGGCCACCCCTAGCATTCGGCATGGTTCTCTGGTACAGTGACTCTACCTACAGGGTTTGGGCTGGGCCTTGGGGAACTACAGATCTCATTCAGAAGGGATTCCATTCCCATGGAGCCCTAGAAATGTGTCCAGTTGTGGCAGAGGCTATTTTTTAAGAGCTAAAAAAGATGGTATATTTTAGCTCAGAACTCCCCACCGCTAATCAGGTTGTCTGAAGCCTTCACTGCCAAGTGCCTTCCCCACCAACTTTTAGCTCTTTACAGAGAGTTGGTCTTTACAATAAAAGAGTCAAATACTTTTTTTTTAAATAACCTCATTCCTGTTTGCATCTTTACTGTCTCTACATCCAGTGTTGGTGCCAAGAACTGCTCTTTATACAGTGGGTTTTAAGACCACTCTTAGTTTATTACCATTGCACTGCTCTCACTTAAATTCATCCTTTAAGATGAAAATAAACTCAATTTCAAGAGGAATAGGATTTTTTTTTAAATTCCAAGCCCTATTTCCAAATGGCATCATGACAAACATATACTGAAAGCATTTTCCTCCAGATGTGATTTCTTCAACCTGCTTCCTGCCTGGAAATGGCCAAATAGGTTGGGGGAGGGGGGGAGAATGGACAAAAAACCAATGCAGTTTGGGCTTAAAGGGTTTTGTCATTGTAAATTGTCTGAAATGGAATAACACTGAAACTGTAAAGTAATTGTTTACTTTTATTAATTACTGTGGATGAATGCCAGTTTTGTAAGCGTCCCTTTAACTATGCAATATTGAAGAAGTAATGTGCAAGCCAATAGCTTCTCCTTCTACATTTTCTCTTGGAATTAGTGCAGCAGACAGGATTTCTATGGAAACATGCCTGGGGATGGGATTGTTTTGAGGCTTAAACTTAGAAACTCAAACTTAAGGAAAGTCTCAACTGCTTTTAAATTAAAATGAAAAAATATGTACGTTATGAGGGTGTTGTTAGAAGGACATTATAGATATTTGAGAAGTTTAAGGCCCAAGTCACTGGTTTCATTGGAAAGTTCCCTGACAATTGCAAATCTTAGGGTGCTGTTGGAAATCGTCCCTTTCCATCCTCTTCCTTCCCCCTCCGCAGCCCCTGCAGCCTGCTAAAGGGGTTTCAGGTTAATCCCAAATTCTTGGATTTAGTAAATTGAGTAATGATGATGGAAAGGAACATTAAATTGTCCCATTATTCCTGGTTGAGCCTTTTCTCATATTGTTTTAAAAAAAAAAACACCCTCCATGTTGGTGCTACTTTTAGAAAATTGCAAATATAGCTTGAAAGTGAAGTTTCAGTTACAGGAAAAGATTGCCTGGTCCTTAGTTTATCTACCAGCAAACTTTAGGCCCTTGAAGTTGGATTGGACTATGAAGTTGGCTGAGCTTGAGGGACTGGAGAAACTGGAAATGGATTAAAAAACCTCCTCTACCATGAGCAAAAGAGGCGACTACTTTTTTTCTTCCTTTTTCCTTATCTTTTCTTTCATAGCCCTGAGCCAGTCTTCTCTATGGAGGGAAAGAGCAAGGAATAGCATCACCCAGCTCCACCAGGGTCCTGTACGTTTCAGCATAATGTAGACCTAGAAAGGAGGAACTGGTCAGCAGTAACTGGACCTTCCACTCAATATCATTAACATGTAGTGATAGCAAGATTCAAAGCCTTCACTAACGTATTCAGCCTTCTGCTATAGGGAGTTGTATCTGGACAGAGAGCTAACCTGAAGTGTTTCCAAATTAATGTTCTGTCAACTACATGCTGGCCAAATTATGCTTCTGAGAAACCATTGTGTCACTGAATTCTTGATGTTTTCTCCCATTTTTACCAAAGTGGCTGTCAAACTGACTCCAGATGCAGCTTACTGTATAGTACCAAGGGTACTGCCCCTCAGCCAAGACTCAGGACATCAGCAGAAGCTTGTTTGCAAAATTGTCTCTGGCCGTTCATTGAACCAAGAAGGATAGATGTGAACAATAAAAATAGTGGTGTTTGAATCTCTTCCTGTCATTAGCATTTGTTGAGGGGCCAGAGTCCTCGTTCCTAACTGCAGACCTCCACCTGCCTGGTGTTGTAGGGAAGAGACTGGAAAAGCTGGGATCCTAAGTAGTATCAATGTCGTACCCTGGGGGCTCCAGAGTGCCTACTTGAACTGAGCCTTAAACCATAACCTAGTACAAATTCCTGTGTTGTCTCCAGACTTTCCCCTCTCTGGTCTGCAGTCTTGTGCTCATGTGTCCTGCAGACAGGACCCTTAGGTTTATCTGGTTGTTTAGGGAGATCAAGAAACTTGGGGTCCCTTAGTACACCAAGTTGGGAGAGGAGATTGGAAAAGAAAAAAAGGCTGTGGATGGCCAATACAGCAACTTCTATAAGCTAAACACATGGAATTTGATGCTAGGAGGGACTCAGATGTATTCCAACCTCATTTTACAGATGGGAAAACAGGTTTAAAAGAGGGAATATGACTTGTCTGAAATTACATGGTAGCATGATAGGTATTAAGTATATACTGACTGGTATATTCCTGAAACACCTGACAAGTTTTATCCGTGGCCATGATGAATCACCAAGCTGAGAGATTCTTGTGATTTGTATGTTCATCCGAATCCCAGAGTGTTGGTTTGAGATCACCTGGGACTCTTAAATGGCTCAGCCACATGGATTTGGGTCTGACCCTGAACACCAAGCAAAAACACAAAGTATGAGAACTCGGTTGAAGCCTGGACTGTTTAGGAATCCCCAGCTCCAGAGCAGAGGCAGACTGCAATCTGGCCCTCCCTTTACAATATCCTGGTCTGCTCCTTCACACATCACGGCATTCATGCACACCAAACTTAGTCAGTTATACAGTAAGCCAAGCTGGAGGGGGGAAGATCGCTGTGGGAACAACCCATGTGTAGGATGTAGCCTGGAGCCAGGTGGTGAAGGTCTTTAAATGCTAGAGTTTTTATTTAGATGTAACAGGAAACTCTGGGAGCATTTTTGTTCTTTTTTAAGTAAATAGTATTTTTTCCAATTACATGTAAAGATAGTTTTCAACATTCATTTTTTATAAGATTTTGAGTTCCAAATTTTTCTCTGTCCCATCATCCCTCCCCAAGACAGCAAGCGACCTGAGGTTATACATGTGCAATCATGTTAAATACGTTTCTTGGATTGTTTTGGGTCATTGTATTGTTGAGAACTAAGTCAATCATAGTTGATCATTGCACATTGTTGCTGTTATTGTGTTCAGTGTTCTGGTTCTGCTCACTTCACTCAGCATCAGTCCATACAAGTCTTTCCAGGTATTTCTGAAGTCTACCTGCTCATCATTTCTTGTAGCACAATAGTGTTCCATTACATTCATATACCACAACTTGTTCAGCAATTCCCCAATTGATGGGCATTCCCTCAATTTCCAATTCTTTGCCACCACAAAAAAGAGCTACTGTAAATATTTTTGTACATGTAGGTCCTTTTTTTTTAAAATAAGTTTTAGTTTTCAACATTCACTTCCATAAGATTTTGAGTTTTAAATTTTCTCCCCCTCTTTCTCCTCCCCACTCCCCAAGTCAGCTTGCAATCTGATGTAGGCTCTACTTATACATTCATATTAAACATATTTTCACATTAGTCATGATGTAAAGAATAATTAGAACTAATGGGAGGAACTAGGATAACACATAGGAATACTGACACATTTTGTCATGCCCTTTAATTTTATAAGAACATATTTCTTTTCTTCCTCACTTAATAGTATTTTATCTTTTCCAATTACTTGTAGTTTTCAACATTTACTTTTATAAGATTTTGAATTCCAAGGTTTTTTTCTCCTTCCCACTCTTCCCTCCTCTCTAAGACAGCAAGCAATCTGATAGAGGCTATACATGTACAATCATATTAAACATATTTCCACATTAGTCATATTGTGAAAAAAGAATCAGAACAAAAAGGAAAAACCAGGAGAAAAAAAGAGAGACAATAGTATGCTTCGATATGTATTCACACTCCATAGTTCTTTCTCTGGATGTGGACAGCATTTTCCATCATGAGTCTTTTGGAGTTATCTAAGATCCTTGCATTGCTGAGAAGATCTAAGTCAGCCATCGTACAATGTGGCTGTTACTATGTACAGTGTTCTGGTTCTGGTCTTTTTACTCAGCATCAGTTTGTATAAGTCTTTCTGGGTTTTTAAATAACATATTGAAGGATTATGGTTCTTAATCCACTCTGCTATAGGCTTCTGTTTTATAGGAGAGTTCATCCTATTCCCATTCCGTTATGATTACTATCTGTGTTTTTTTCTCCATCTTGTTCCCCTCTCCCCCATTTATGCTTTTCTCTCTCCTTTCTCCCTTTCCCTCCTCACTAGAGTTTTGCTTTCAACCACTGCCTCCCTCAGTCTGCCCTCAAAGTTTTGAATGCTGTGGATAAGTTCACCTACCTCGGTAATGTACTTTCCTCATTGATAATGAGGTTGATGCACACATTGCCAGAGCTACCTCAGTGTTTGGGAGGCTCTGAAGGAAAGTATAGGAGAGAAGAGGTACTAGACTGAACACCAAACTGAAGGTCTTACAGAACCATTGTGCTGACCTCATTGTTGTATGCCTGTGAAACCTGGACAGTATGCCAGCACCACGCCAGGAAACTGAATCACTACCATTTGAATTGTCTTAAGAAGATTCTGAAGATCACCGGTCAGGATGAGATACCAGATACTAAGGTCCTTTCTCAAATTAAACTGCCATGCATTCAAACTGCTTCAGAGAGCACAACTCCAATGGGCTGGCCATACTAAGAATGCAAAACATCCACTTGCCAAAAAGACTATTTTATGGAGAACTCACACAAGGGCAAACGTTCACATGGTGGTCAGAAGAAGCAATATAAGGACACTCTCACGGTCTCTCTTAAGAACTTTGAAATTGATTGTGTGACATGGGAGACACTAGCACAGGACTGCTCAGCATGGCGTGCCCACATCAGAGAAGGTGCTGTGTTCCATGAGCAAAGCAGAACTGAAACAGCTCAAAGGAAATGCAGGCTGCACAACCATCTCAAATGGTTACCTGTGGTAGAGCATTCCAAGTTCACATTGATCTGATCAGCCACAGTCGGACACCCTAGCATAGTGATGTCATTTTGGATTTTGGTCCTCTTTGAGAATGAAGGACAGCAACCAACCAACCATTTCTTCCTTCCCTTCTATCCACCCCTCTCTTTTCTTTCTCCTTTCCCCTCCTACTTCCTATAGGGTAAGTTAAATTTCTATACCTAATTAATTATGTTATTCCTTCTTTGAGCCAAATCTTATGGGAGTAAGGTTCAAACAATGCTCATCTCTCTCCCTTTTTTCTCTCTACTGTAATAGGTTTTTGTGTCTTTTCATGTGATGTAATTTACCCTTGTCTGCCTGCTTTCCTCTTCTCCCAGAATAATCCCTTTTCACCATTTAATTAGACTTTTTTTTAATCATCATATCAAAATCAACTTATACCTACACCCTCTATGTATACCCCTTTTAAATGTCGTAATAATGATATAATTCTCAAGAGTTACAAGTATCATCTTCCCTTGCAGGGATGTGAACTGTTTCTCCTTATTAATAACATGTTGTTGTTGTTGTTGTTTTCTTTCCTATTTACCTTTTTATGCCTCTCTTGAGTCTTTTGAAGATCAAATTTTCTGTTGAGCTCTGATTTTTTCATCAGGAAGGTTTGGAAGTCCCCTATTTCGTTGAATGTCCATCTCCTCACCTGAAAGATTATGCTCAGTTTTCACTGGGTAGTTGATCCTTGCTTGTAATCCAAGCTCCTTTGCCTTACAGAATATTGCATTCCACACCCTCCGATCTTTTAATGTAGAAGCTGCAAAGTCCTGCATAATCCTGACTATGGTTCCATGTTATTTAAATTGTTTCTTTCTAGCTGCTTGCAGTATTTTCTCTTTGACCTGGTAATTTTGAAATTTGGCTACAATATTTCTTGGCATTTTCAATTTGGGATCTTTCTCAGGAGGTGATCGGTGAATTCTTTCAATGACTATTTTACCTTCTGGTTCTAGGACCTCTGGGCAGTTTTCCTTGATGATTTCCTGAAATTTGCTGTCCAGGCTCTTTTTTTTTTATCATGGTTTTCGGGTAAACCAATAATTTTTTAAATTGTCTCTCCTGGATCTATTTTCCAGGTCATTTGTTTTACTAATGAGATATTTTACATTTTCTTCTATTTTTTTTCATTCTTTTGTTTCTGTTTGACTGAGTCTTGATCTCTCATAGAGTCATTAGCTTCCACTTGCCCAATTCTAATTTTTAATAAATTGTTTCCTTCTATTGGCTTTTGTGCCTCCTTTTCCCTTGGCCAATTCTACTTTTTAAAGAGTTTATTTCTTCAGTGTACTTTTGACCATTTGACCAATTGTTATTTTTTGTTTGGTTGGGTTTTTTGGTGAGGCAATTAGGGTTAAGTGACTTGCCCACAGTCACACAGCTAGAGTGTTAGATGTCTGAGGCCAGATTTGAACTCGAGTCCTCCTGACTCCAGGGCTGGTGCTCTATTTACTGTGCCCCGGCCAATTGTATTTTTTAAGGATTTGTTTTCTACAATCAATTTTTGTCTTTCTTTTTCCAAGCTATTGACTTTCTCTTGCATACCTCTCATTTCCTTTCCCAATTTTTCTTCTACTTGTCTTATTTGAGTTTTAAAATCCTTCTTGAGCTCTTCCAAGAAGGCTTTTTTGGGCTTAAGACCAGTTCATATTCCCTTTTGAGGTTTCAGATGTGGGTATATTGACAATGCTGTCCTCTTCTGAATTTGTGCCTTGATCTTCCCTGTTCCCATAAGAATCTATGGTCACCATCCGTTTCTGCTTTCTGCTCATGGTGTTTGCCTGTATCCTGGCTTTTAAAGTTGAGTTCTCCTGCTGGAGCACAGGGGGCACTGACCCAAGCTTCTTGTGCTGGGAGCCCAGAACCTGGTCACTGGTTTTATGTGTTGGGGCCTTAAGTGCTGGCA